AATATCAGCACCTGCAAATACCCCTGCAAGCCACACAACATCATGACTTGGAACTATATTGCCATTCCTTCATTGTTGCTGGTTCACAATCCTGGAACTCCCTCTAACTGCACTGTGAGTTTAACTACAACTTCAGGACTGCAGTAGTTCCAGAAGGCAGCTCATTACCACATTAAGAGCAGTTAGGCATGGACAATAAATGCTGACCAGTGATGTGTACTTAAGAATTAATTTAAAAAACTTTCCTATTGGACAAATTCCATACGGACACGAAAACATATACAATTTCATACAAAAAACACACAGCAATGACTGCTGACTTTGTCGATATAAGCTGACAAATTCAAAATCTTGATAGGACCGGTATCACTGGCTCCAACTTTTTTTCTAAAGTGCAAGTCAACTTACGCTGCCCAATACAGAATTCCAGAAGCTCATAACGCAGAGATGCAACAATAGCATTCCACTGTAATCTGGTGTCATATCCAATATCAGGATGTAGTGGCAATAGGTTAGATCAGGCCCCAGGGTGAGCATGCTAAACTGGCATAAGTTCAATCAGCTCAAGGAGTCAGATTCGGTTTTTAGTAGTCTAACTTTTCCTGGGTAGTTATTTACTTACACCAGTGGAACTCTCTGAAATTTCAGATTTAAACGTATACTTTAGGAGAGTCCCAGAAATCAGGGAATTAACCATTATCTTCATGTTCTCAGGAAATTCCCTCAGAGTCTGCTTTATCAGGGATTCCACAGGGATCCCATGTGAGCTACAGAAACAACTATGTGGCCATTGGAAAATCCATGCATATATTTCCTTGAGTGGCACAATGTTATAGTTTGTTTTATATTTATTTACTTACAAAGCAGTGAATTTTTGGAATTTCCTACCTCAGAATGTTGTGGAACTTTACTCATTGAGTATATCCAAGACAGAGATTAACGTATTTCTAGATATTAAATATGTCAAGGGATATGAGAAAATCATTCCAAGGTTAAAAATCATAGAAACATAGAAAATAGGTGAAATAGGCCATTCGGCCCTTTGAGCCTGCACCACCATTCAACATGATCATGGCTGATCATGCAATCTCAGTATCCCATTCTGTCCTCATACCCCTTGATCCCTTTAGCCACAAGAGCCACATCCAGCTATCTCCAATATATCTAATGAACTGACCCGAACAGCTTCCTGTGGGAGAGAATTCCACAGGTTCACAACTCTGAGTGAAGGCATTCTTCTTCATCCGCGTCCTGAATGGCTTACCCCTTATTCTTAGACTGTGACCCCTTGTACTGGACTTCCCCCAACATTGGGAACATTCTTCCTGCTTCTAGCCTGTCCAGTCCCATCAGGAATTTATATGTTTCTATGAGATCCCCCCTCATTCTTCTAAATTCCAGAAAATACAAACCCAGTCAATCCAATCTTTCTTCATGTGTCAGTCCTGCCATCCCAGAAATCAGTCTGGTAAACCTTTGCTGGACTCCCTCAATAGCAAGGAAGTCCTTCCTCAGACTAGGAGACCAAAACTGCACACAATACTCAAGGTGTGGCCTCACCAAGGTCCTGTATAACTACTGCAAGACATCCTTTCTCTAATACTGAAATCCTCTTGCTATGAAGGACAGCATGCCATTAGCTTTCTTCACTTCCTGTTGCACTTGCATGCCAACCTTCAGCGACTGTTCTACCATGACACCCAAGTCTCGTTGTACCTCACCTTGCTCTGAACTGCCACCATTCAGATAATAATTTGCCTCCCTGTTTTTATGACCGAAGTGGATAACCTCACTTTTATCCACATTATACTGCATTTGCCAAGTATTTGCCCACTCAGCCAATCTGTTCAAGTCACATTACAGTCTCTTAGCATCCTCTTCACAGCACACCACCACCCAGCTGAGTGTCATCTGCAAATTTGAAGATATGACATTCAATTCCTTCATCCAAAGTTAATATTGTGAACAGCTGAGGTCCCAGCACTGAAGCCTGCAGCACCCCACTCGTCGCTGCCTGCTATTCTGAAAAGGACCCGTTTATTCCAGCTCTCTGCTTCCTGTTGCCAACCAGTTCTCTATCCATGTCAATACATTACATCTGACATCATGAGCTTTAATTTTCCTTACAAATCTCATGTGGAACCTTGTCAAAAACCTTTTGCAAGTCCAGATACGCAACATCTACTGATTCACCACTGTCCACTCTACTGGTCACATCCTCAAAAAATTCTAGAAGATTTGTCAAGCATGATTTCCCCTGAGCAAATCCATGCTGACTAGGACTGATTCTGTCCCCGCTTTCCAAATGCTCAGTCATTACATCTTTAATGATAGACTCCAGCATTGTCCCCACCACTGATGTCAGGCTAAACAGACCATAAATTCCCCATTTTCTCCCTGCATCTATTTTTTCGAAAGAGTGGAGTTACATTAGCTACTCTCCAGCCCATTGAAACTCTTCTAGAGTCGACAGAATGTTGGAAAATGATCACTGAAGCATCGTTATTTCTAGGGCCACTTCCTTAAGTACTCTGATAGATCATGATCAGCCATGATCTTGTTCACTGGTGCAGCTGATACGAGAATTCCAATCCTTACTCCCGCTTTTATTTCTTACGTTCCTATAATACATCAGGGAAGCACTGTGGGACATTTTATTACGAGAGAAATGTTCTATATATGTACTCTTGGTCTGTAAACAAAGGACTCTTTCCAAAACAATGTGTGAGGTGTTTTCCTTATCACCTGGACAAGCTGACAAATTGCCCATCATATTTTAGCCTCATCAGTGTCATTCAGTATGTTAATCACCATTTTAGTGAAATAGCTTTTTTCAAAAACTGGTAAGATTAATTTGCCAAAATTAGAAAAAGATATTTCTTTCTAGCAAACGCTTGGAAAAATATTTTTAAAATACTGATACACAAAAAATCTCTCTGCTGTAATATTCAACTTGTGTTCTGAACAGATAAACGAGAGGTGTACATACACGAGGTTAAACTGTGAGCACTCTGAAGGTCAAATTCCATTATCAATGCTAAAACTCTTTGGTCCTTAAATGAACACAAATGATAACAATGACAGGCTAATGATTTAAACATGCAAATTCTAGTTCTAAAAAGATTAGCTTAGAAAAAAAAATTATTTGCAAATTTTGTAATTGGCTAAATTGTTTGTCACCACTGATATCAGCATTTCCCTGCCACAGACTTAGACAAGGTGGAATACCAGACAGCAAACTGCACAACAAAATTGAAATTTGCCAAATGTTTCATGATGTCTGTTCTACCACATCACTGGTTCTAACTTCTACACTGACAGATACAATAAGTTTGACACTGTCTTATTCTATTGCCTTTTACTCACAATCCCTTTGCTTTCTGTATTTTGATCATTGTTGTACAATTTGACAGTGCAGAACAAGACCATTCAGCACAAAACAGCTCTTTCAAAGAGCCAGCATAGCTATTTAGTTCCAATCTCATTTCTTCCCAACAGTATTTCAGCTTTTTCTCCATTTCAAGTGCATATCCAACTGTTTTTTGAAAGTGACACAACTGTGTTCCATCACCCAATTACACAATGTATCCTAGATCATAACTTGCTAAACAGAAAAAAAAGCTTATTTCCCTTCTGTTTCTTTCTTACATCTGTACCTTTTAATAAACGAGACATTCATGAGTGAAAACAATTCCTCTTTCTTTCAAAATTTCTCAATTAAAGCCCCTTATGACCTTACCTACTCAGAGAGCAATCTCAGGATATCAACAGGGAATAAAGGATTATCCTGGCTGAAAATGAGAACTGTAATCCCTAAAAATAGTCCAGCTGATTTTGAAGTTATGATCAAGACTAAAACTTTTTTGCAGTTGGGCCCCAAATTTATTTCATTTTTCCACCTCAACCGACTGACTCTTGGACATAGTGCTTTTTCTCCATCCATTTTCAAAATTATTATTTTCTTTCCATTTTCACACTCGTTCCTGCAATCCTGAAATGAGAAGCCAACTGATGACCAGCTTTCAGATATTTCATGTTGTATAAAGAGTTGAATGAGATGTGATCTCTATTTCTGCAAAATCTGATTGACGATGACACCAAAGTCAATCCATGGTCCAGCTGATTTGCTAAATGACAAGTCTACTACAATACTACCCCAGTTCACAGCACAGCTAAAGAAGTTCTCATAAAACAAACGTAATGACTGTTTAACATATGAGAGTGTCTACGTGCAAGATAAAATGCAATTTCCCACAGAACAATCCTTCTGAGTGGTGTAGTTACTTCATAAAACATATTGTACAGCTGTACCAAGTTACAATATCAGCATCACAAGACAGAGTAACACTACCAAACATGGTATATCACATGGTGCATAATTTAAGCCAATGCTCAGAGTAGAGAAAACAGTTTTACAAACAAAGCATTGTAACTCAGGTGGACAGAGCAGACCCAATAGCAGAAACCTCATCTCTACACACAGGCCCACAGAACTTCACACGTTTACTTTATAAATCATGGAATTAGGACAACTGCATTGGCAAAAGCTAACTGAAGTAGTCAAACAGTTGCGTACTTATCAAACAGTACAGAAAGCAATTAGCCAAAAAAGATGAAAGATGAGACTTGGAATTCATTAGAATGCTACATGAAAGCACAACTTACAACAAGATCACTTCAGGTAGTGAAACCATCTTTGAGACAGGAGTTTACAGAATGCCAATTTCAATAAGTATGTACATGCCTGTTTGTTGGTATTTCCATCAGGTCAATTGTCTTAATTCTATCGTGTATTGGCAGACATCTCAGTAAGGAAGCGCAGTTCAGCAATGCACTTTAACCACTATTTAGATACATGGACTTTCCTTTAAATTCAAATGATCAAAGAAATAAAACATGCCTACACAAGTATGCATGTATCAACCGTGCATATTACACCAAGAACTGGGGTATAATTGTGAAATAGACAGCATGTCTCACATTATTAGCAAGATTCTTACCTTGTGCAGTTCCAGGAGCACTTTGTCCAGAAATCACCCCTTCACTGGTGTAAGCAGAGTACAAATTTTCACTAGATGGTGATGGTTTCAGCAATTGACCTTGTCCAGAAACAGTGAATTCTTGAGTACTTGGGGGTGGCAAAAGCATCTGCTGTGATGTTAAAACTGAAGCAGTACTCTGAGCAGTTAAGGATCCTGCAATAGAACATCAGCAACATGTATCAGCAGCAAACAGGTCAGCACAGAAAAATAAAAAGCAATCAAAATGGATGCTAACTATTACCTACCAGATGGTAAAGGACTCTTTTGTCCTTGGGAACTGCTTCGACTAGATTTGCTGCTTTTCCCTTTAGTGGGCCTTCTACGACGTCCAGATAGGGGTGCTGCAGGTGGAATTATTACAGCTGGTGGTGCTTTACCCAATTTGATATAGAGTTCCTCTATCTCCAGCTTCTGTCTTGACTGCAACTCCTGGATCTCCTTCAAATGTCTGAAATACAGTAGTTTGGGATAGTGCATTATTTTGAGAAAATAAACTGTTAACTACGTGTTACTTTGGCTAACCTGATAAAGGACTGAGATAGGGAAAATACAGATACCAAACAGAGCAGGGTATATCTGCATGGAGACAGTTAGCCATTATACATGATAGTATGCACTATGAAAATATTATTAGTGAACAACTCCCAATTGCAACGATTACCTGAGTGAACTTCCTTATTTACAGTCTCAAAAAGCTACAAAGGACCCAGTGACCTACATCACTAATCTCACTCAGCAGTGGTCAGGAAACTGAAGGACAAAGGGGCAGGCCCCATCATTCAAAAATGTGCCTTAGCCAGGGAAAAGTCTCAGTAAAACAGTGTGGAGCTAGAGGAACACAGCAGGTCAGGAAGTATCAGAGGAGGAGGAAAGTTGATGTTTCGGGTTGGGACCCTTCTTCAGAACTGGGGATTGGCTGGGGGAAGGGTGGAGATCGGCTAGGGGGGAGAGAAGGTGGACAGGTTGTGTCAGGTCAAGGAGGCAAGAGGGAGGATGGGTGGGGCTGGGGAAAGGTAGGTGTATTTGGTGGTAAGTTCCCGAGGAGGAATGAGGAGTTGCTCCTCCAGTTTGCGTGTGGTGTCATTGTGGCACTGGAGGCAGCCCAGGATGGACAGGTCATCAAAAGGAGTGAGAAAGGGAGTTAAAATGGTTAGCGACCAGAAGGTATTGTCAATTATCGCGTACAGAGTGCACATCCTCCACGAGATGGTCCAAGTCTGTGCTTGGTCTCACCGAAGTGGCCTCCGGTACATCGGGAGCAATAGATCCAGTAGTCCAAGTTGGAGAACGTACAGGTGAGCCCCTGTCAGAAATGAAAAGTTCACTTTGGGCCTTGAATGGAGGTGAGGGAGGTGGTGTAAACACAGGTGTAGCACTTCCTGCTGTTGCAGGGAAAGGTGCCAGGTGTGGTGGGGTTAGTGGAGAGTTAATGGGGAATGTGGAGCAGATGAGGGAGTCATGGAGTCAGCAGTCCCTACGAGCAGCAGACAGGAGTGGGAAGGGAAATCTTTCTTGGTCGTGGGGTCGGATTGTAGGTGGCAGATGTGACAGAGGATGATACACCAGACTACACCTCTTCTCAGCCACCCTCCTGCAAGAATGCGAACCCATACTGCCAATTCCTCCACCACCACCGCATCTGCTCCCAAGATGGAGCGCACCACTCCCAAACATCCCAGATGTCCTCCTATTTCAAGGACCACAACATTCCCCCCTCCAGTGATCAAAAATGCCCTCAACCACATCTCTTGCGTTTCCTACACTTCTTCCCTCAAAATCCCTCCCCCAAACAAAAATAAAGACAGAGTCCCCCTGGTCCTCACATACCACCCCACCAACCTCCGCATCCAGCATGTCATCCTCCACCACTTCCGCCACCTATAATCTGACCCCATGACCAAAAAGAGATTTCCCTCACCACCCCTATCTGCTTTTCATAGGGACTATTCACTGTGACTCCTTAGTCCACTCCACACTCCCCACTAATCCCACCACACCCGGCACCTTTCCCTGCAACCGCAGGAAATGCTACACCTGCCCCTAAACCTCAGCCCCTCACCTCCACTCAGGGCCCAAAACAAACTTTTCATTTCCAACAGGGGTTCACCTGTACATTCTCCAACTTGGACTATTGTATCCATTGCTCCCGATGTGGCCTCTGGTACATCGGTGAGACCAAGCGCAGACTCAGGGACCATTTCGTGGAGCATCTGCGCTCTGTACATGATAATCACCACCACCTTCTGGTCACTAACCATTTTAACTACCCTCTCCCACTCCCTTGATGACATGTCCATCCTGGGTCACCTCCAGTGTCACAATGATGCCATCCACAAACTGCAACACCTCATATTCTACCTCAGGAGCCTACAGCCCAATGGCCTGAACACAGAATTCACCAGTTTTAAAATCTCCACACCCACAGCCTCATCCCACATCCAAACCTCCCTCTCATCCCCGCCTCCTTGACCTGACACAACCTGTCCATCTTCTTCCCCACCTATCCGCCCCACCACTCCCACTGACCAATCCCCACTACCCCCTACTGGCATCCACCTATCACCACCTAGCTTTCCCCAGCCCCACCCATCCTCTGTCTATTTATTTCCCAGCTCCCTTCCCCCTCCCTAATTCTGAAGGGTCCTGATCCGAAATGTTCACTTTCCTACTCCTCTGATGCTACCTGACCTGCTGTGTTCCTCCAGCTTCACACTGTGTTGATTCTGACTCCAGCATCTGAAGTTCTTGCTATCTCCAAACTCTCAGTAAAATTCAGGGAGGACAGAGAAACAAAAATCTCAACTCATCCACCAAACATTCCAAACTCCCAAATAGGCCTTTAGGTTTCTGAGACTAATGCTGCTTTTGTTAAATTAAATAGAATGCAAAAAAATGGGCAGCAGTTTTTCACCTGCACTTCATTTATAGAATATCACAGGGAGTAAGCAAAGTTACAACCAGCAATGATGACTAATACAAATTACTAATGATCATTACTTTTTGACCAGTGAGTATGCGTCTATTTTAAATAGTGGAGAAGTTACTCTGGTAAGGGAAATATAGAGCACAGGACACAAAATTAAAGTAAGGCCAGTTACAAGTTGAATTTCAAAACATTTTATCCTAAACAAGATAGGGGAAATCTGGACTTGACCCTCCCCTAATAGCCCAATACTAATTCACAAAGATTGTGGATATTGAATTAAATTTAAATATTGCAGTCTAACATTGATGGGGGAGAAGGTAGTCACAGCAAGGGCATCAAATAAAGTGAAGTATTTAACTCTAACTTTATAATCAAAACAAAGTCGGTCAATTTTTACGTACAAATTCATTTAGATTTAACATATTTCTCAGTTTTTCCCCTCAAAGTAATCCCACTGTATGGTCCCATATGTTCCAGCAACTAAAAGAGGATTAATCATTAGATGAGCAGTATCAGGATAGCATGTTTTCAAGAGTGAGGAACTGTTTTAACATCAAGAAATTGCCATTTAATTGCACATTTGGCAGGACAGATGTCTGATTCCTGCAATAAAAACCACAAGAATGACGCAGGATGTCAAACTGGCTCTGGCAGTGAGCACGGTTTACTAGTTGAAGTAGCAGTGCAGACAGTGTAATTGACCACATTGTCTCTAAGATAGTGAGAGAAAAATCAATGTGAATTATCCATCATTGCTGGCCATGTTTCTCTTCTGCTGATTTGGTGAAAGGACAGAACTTCTCCATGATGTTCTCTCAAGTAGCAAGCTATCCATGAATAAACACTGGTATTTATTGATCATTCTTGAACTGTCATTTGTTCAGGAAAGGTTTAAAAAGGTTTAATGACAAACCAGCATATATTAAAATTGTTCTACATTTTGTATGGAATGAGACACAAGTGTAAAACTTTCAAGGCTGCAATGCATTCCACGCTCTATCAGACAGTTGATTTTTCAAAGATTATTTGCAATAGTTGTTATTAAAAGAATTAACTGTTGGAAACTGGATTACATGCATTGATCACATCAGATAGTTTCTAACAGGACTGAAAGAAAAGTAACCAGATACCTACTTGTCCCTCAATCTGTGGAGCTCTTTTCGCATGTCTTCATCTTCAATTTCTGAATCATTATCACTGCTCATGTAGGAGGAATTAAAAGAATTGGTGAGGTTCTGTACAATGGTGGCACTCTTTGATTCTGGCGATTGAGGGGAAACTGAACTCCCTGCACTATCAACCTGTGTTTGATCCAGTTCCTTTGAACAAGGTTGCTGTCCAGTCTCCTGCAGAACTGGTCCATTCACATGTACATACTGATCTGAACCAGTTGATTCTTTTGATGGTAAAATTTGATCTGAAGCTCTAAAGAGATCCACTGCCGCAGAGGAAATTACCGTCAATGGGGCAGTGCTCAAAGGAACATAAGGAGTGACTCCCATGCCAGCTTCATAAGTCACTTCATCCTGTGTCCTTGCTACTGAAAAGCGGCCAACAGTGTCTCGTCGTGTTGTGACCTGGAATCGTCCTATATTTGCCTTATGAGCTGGCTCCTGTTCTTGGTGTTCATGATATGGCAAAGATCTGTTGTTTTTGCTTTGAGTTACTGAGACACTATCCACCACATCTTCATGACTGTCATGTTCAGGTTTAATCACTGTACTTTCAGGACTGCTTCCAGAAAAGGAAGACTCATCTGACATATGTTTCAGCTTACTTTCTTGCTGCTTATCATTTGCTTCTTGATACAAGACATCATCTGTTGCAACAGAAACCTACAAGAAAAAAAATTTACTGAGTGTTTCTTCAAACAAAAGTTCATTCAGATTTGGCACATAAAAGTGAAGAAATCTAAAATCTATATTAAAAAAATACAAGTAGTCAAATATGCACACAGTGTAGCTAAGATAGTTTTAATAAGTGGTGCCTGAAAGGGCAGCAGTCCCTCAGTACATTAATAGAGTGCCAGCTCTGATGTTTGTACTCGAATCCTGCAACGAACCCACAACCTTCTGAGTCAAGAAACAACTGAGCCACCAAATTTGTGTATTCAAACCTGACTGAACATTCCTCTAAGGTGTGGGCTGTATGACCTTTTCTTATGCTCACATCCGTAATATGCTCTGAATCTCACAAGGCAATAAAACATGGGGGCAAAAAAGTGACAGATCACTAAGATGACTGACATTAAAAATATAACAAGCAGCATTCCATCAGAAATCCAAACATCTTCATTTCGGTCTTATTTCTTTTTCAAGCGTGTTGGTCTCAAGTCCATTTCTTCCAGCCAACATATTTCCATGGCTGGTCTCTGCAAGGAATGGTTCATATTTCAAGTCAGTGACAAAGTGATAGCATTTCACCACTGACCTCGAATACAACTACTCCAAAAGATCTTGCAAATTTTGTGAATTCCCCCTTTCTCATGTTTAATTTGAATGCGGTGACATGTGAATGGGGTTTCAGAACAAACACCCTTTGGACGGCATGGTAAGTAGTAAACAAATTAAAATACACTGATATTCTTTACTATCTATTAAGATTTGCAGAGAGCAAAATAAATAATTGGGACAGATTAAAGCAGAAGCTTAAGCATCAAATCAATTTGGATTCCATCAACTATGGCTCTGAAAAGTGCTTTGATACAGCTGGTCATTGTGAAAAGTGCCACAAAAATACCATTTCTTTGCTTTAAATTGAAAACGTTATCGTAAGAAATTTAACATTAAACATGTATAAAAAATTAATTTTTCAGGGCAAAAAGGTTGCTACAGCATTAACAGTAAGCTCAGTACAACAAATCAAACTAGTTTATAAATCATTCAAAAGTTGTAACTTTACAAGGTGGTTTACATTGAGATCAAGTCTTCAGAGCAAAGTTCTCATCAGTTTAATAATTTCTACTTGAATGGAATCTGGTGGAGGGGTGCATGGTGTTCAAAATACATTGACCATGGGAAGTTTTGATCATATATAGCAATTTCTAGGTCTCAATTTGTTTAACTACATTCTTGCAGATTCCATAAGTAGCAAATCATCTCCTTTTCACCTGCTCAGCACAACACCATCAGAAAGCTAATGATTGGAAACCACCGAGTTTTGAAGCTTAACACAAACTCTTTGCTTTACTTTCCTAACTATTAAAACTTGCATGTCACTCCCCAAATGGAACTGGTAGACAAAAATATAGATTATGTCAAGACAATATGTCGATGCTTTTTTTAAAGAAAATGCTGCAGCCATTCAACATTGCCTGTGGATCAAGCTGAAATCATTAGCTAGCAAGCCAGAAGTTTGCAGTCAAATTGGCATCAGAGTACTGTCAAAAAAAAGCAATTGCACTTCAAAACTACTTCGTTATCTGTAATTCCCCCTGGGAGTTAATCAAAAGCGCTAATAATGAAGTATCTTCTTCCTTCATTGCCTCCAGTTTTTAAGACTTAATTATTACCTGAAAACGTCCCATTTTAACAACTCCACTTCCAGTTGCGGTAGTTACAACTGTGTTTGACTCTATGACACCTTCCTCATGAGACTGTGACACTAGCACAGGACAGCCCAATTTATCTTCTGAGGAAGCCGTGTTAATGTCTCCTAGCTGTGGGATATGACCTGGAATAGGAAAAGGAGGGGAAAAAAGCAAATATATTTATAAATTAGCACTTCAAGAAGTTAGATGCAGATCACATGGTTAAGTATATTCAAAATATGACTGCTCACTTAGAGCTTATAAACTTGGACTGATTATTGTTACAAAAGCATTAAATGAATAAGCCTGTCTTAAAGCTGCAAGCTGTTAATCAAAATATTTAAAGTTCTGAATTGACCTAAAGAGAGAGCTAAGAAGAGCCAGGAGGGGACATGAGAAGTCTTTAGCAGGTAGGATCAAGGAAAATCCTAAAGCTTTCTATAGGTATGTCAGGAATAAAAGAATGACTAGAGTAAGATTGGGGCCGGTCAAGGACAGTCGTGGGAAGTTGTGCGTGGAGTCTGAAGAGATAGGAGAGGTGCTAAATGAATATTTTTCGTCAGTATTCACGCAGGAAAAAGACAATGTAGTTGAGGAGAATACTGAGATACAGGCTATTAGACTGGACGGGATTAAGGTTCATAAGGAGGTGGTGTTAGCAATTCTGGAAGGTGTGAAAATAGATAAGTCCCCTGGGCCGGATGGGATTTATCCTAGGATTCTCTGGGAAGCTAGAGAGGAGATTGCAGAGCCTTTGGCTTTGATCTTTATGTCGTCATTGTCTTCAGGAATAGTGCCAGAAGACTGGAGACTAGCAAATGTTGTCCCCTTGTTCAAGAAGGGGAGTAGAGACAACCCTGGTAATTATAGACCAGTGAGCCTTACTTCGGTTGTGGGTAAAGTGTTGGAAAGGATTATAAGAGATAGGATTTATAATCATCTAGAAAGGAATAATTTGATTAGGGATAGTCAACACGGTTTTGTGAAGGGTAGGTCGTGCCTCACAAACCTTATTGAGTTCTTCGAGAAGGTGACCAAACAGGTGGATGAGGGTAAAGCGGTTGATGTGGTGTATTTGGATTTCAGTAAAGCGTTTGATAAGGTTCCCCATGGTAGGCTATTGCAGAAAATACGGAGGCATGGGATTGAGGGTGATTTAGCGGTTTGGATCAGAAATTGGCTAGCTGTAAGAAGACAGAGGGTGGTGGTTGATGGGAAATGTTCATCCTGGAGTTCAGTTACTAGTGGTGTACCTCAAGGATCTGTTTTGGGGCCACTGCTGTTTGTCATTTTTATAAATGACCTGGATGAGGGCATAGAAGGATGGGTTAGTAAATTTGCGGATGACACCAAAGTCGGTGGAGTTGTGGATAGTGCGGAAGGATGTTGCAGGTTACAGAGGGACATAGATAAGCTGCAGAGCTGGACTGAGAGGTGGCAAATGGAGTTTAATGCGGAAAAGTGTGAGGCGATTCACTTTGGAAGGAGTAACAGGAATACAGAGTACTGGGCTAATGGTAAGATTCTTGGTAGTGTGGATGAGCAGAGAGATCTCGGTGTCCATGTGCATAGATCACTGAAAGTTGCCACCCAGGTTGATAGTGTTGTTAAGAAGGCGTACAGTATGTTAGGTTTTATTGGTAGAGGGATTGAGTTTCGGAGCCATGAGGTCATGTTGCAGCTGTACAAAACTCTGGTGCGGCCGCACTTGGAGTATTGCGTACAGTTCTGGTCACCGCATTATAGGAAGGATGTGGAAGCATTGGAAAGGGTGCAGAGGAGATTTACCAGGATGTTGCCTGGTATGGAGGGAAGGTCTTATGAGGAAAGGCTGAGGGTTTTGAGGCTGTTTTCGTTAGAGAGAAGAAGGTTAAGAGGTGACTTGATAGAGACATACAAGATCATCAGAGGATTAGATAGGGTGGACAGTGGGAGCCTTTTTCCTCGGATGGTGATGGCTAGCACGAGGGGACATAGCTTTAAATTGAGGGGTGATAGATATAGGACAGATGTCAGAGGTAGGTTCTTTACTCAGAGAGTAGTAAGGGCGTGGAATGCCCTGCCTGCAAAAATAGTAGACTCGCCCACTTTAAGGGCATTTAAATGGTCATTGGATAAACATATGGATGATAATGGAATAGTTTAGGTTAGATGGGCTTCAGATTGGTTTTCACAGGTCGGCGCAACATCGAGGGCCGAAGGGCCTATACTGCGCTGTAATATTCTATGTTCTATGTTCTATGTTCTATGTTGTCAGCATACCAATCAAGTAAATTTGACAGTCACAAGGTAAGCAGCTAACAGGAAAAGTATCAGAGGCAGTTTGTTTTGAATTTTCATTTTTGTTTTAAAAAGAGCACCAAATACACACTACTCATCCATTACACAGCTTTTACTCACCAGCAATGGAAAACTCATGTTTACCGCTCAAATATTTGATAATATTCAGGTAAAGGATTCCGTTTTTGATGAGTAGCAGTAAACTATTACAAATGATTTATTTTCCCTGCAAGGAGTGATGCAGCACATAATAAATTCTTTACCTTCACCAGGCAGGCCAGTTGTTGTATAGCTCTGTCCAGGAGGCACAACTGACCCATTTACAGGAGTCATACCCTTTGATAAAAGAAAAAAAAAGGATAAGTTCAATGAAAATGTAAGGGCTTTTGAATACATATTAAAAAGGTGTACAACATATACGATCATCCAATTGGGAATTTGGGTTTTAAAATAGAGGCAGATAGATTTGGTTTTGAGTTCTGTGATAACTGTGATCACATCCAAACAAGCAAGTGATTCAGTTACATGCTGAGCAGGATACCAGTTTAATTTATTAATGAAATTTTTAAACTGTTGAGCTTAAGATAAAGAAACAGACCAGGAGAATTTGACTTTAGTTCAGAAGAATCATGTTCTCAATTGAGAAGAATATTTTTCTACCTTGTAGAAGATTTTTAGTTTATTAAGTTGACAAATTCAGACAATTTTAGAGTCATACAGTGATACAGCCTTGTGCATTGAAATAAATGCACTATAACCAAAAGTCTTTTATCTCCCTCGACAGTGCCCCTGGCTTTCCTGAATAGTAATCTTGCTCTCGATGGCTAAGTTTTTAATTTCTCAGAACTGAGGAGCTCCTGTTTATTTCCCATTTTCTTCTCTTTTCTCCCTTTTACCCCTCTTGATGTTCTTTCCCGAGGTAGAGTGGGCTGGAGGCCCGAGCGACGTGGGGTCAGCCAACAGACTGGAGACCTGAGCAACGTAGCAGTTGTCAGACTGGGGACTGGTGCAGGCGGTCAACAGCTTGCGAGCCTGGGCAGGCCACACGTTGAAGCCCCCCTGCACTGATCTACTGAAAGATTGTAATGCTTAGCTTTGTAACTACATTCTCATTTTTCTAACTTATACTATGAATAACTAAGTAACGTAATTTTTTTTCCTTTCTTTTAACATTTATATCTAAGATCTATACTGAAGTACCCTGCACCTAAAGTCCCACCATATGGGATGACATTGTCAACTCATCCTTATACTCCAAACTTCCGTACTAGACTACACGTGACAATAAATGATATTCTATTCTAAGAGGTTTAAGTCAGCAGAACCAGAAACAATTTGTAAAACTGTTGCAGGATTCCAGCAGGAGAACTGGAAAGAGTCAGTCAAGCAAGAAATAAAAGAGCTGAAATAGGAGTGATATTTTTCTGGAATTGAGTACCTGTAACACGTATTACAGAGAAACAGATCAAAAAACTTAACTTTGCTGTTTATGTCAAGGTCTTTCTATTCACCCCCTCCAACCCCACTTCTCTCTTTCGCTCTCTCTCTCTCTCACACACACACACACACTCTCCCCACCCCCCCATCTCTCCATCCATCCATAGATATAGATATCTGTACACACGTATCTTCGTTTTTCTTTCGTGTAATAATTTTGTGGTTGTTGGTTGAAAACCACTTGCAGCCTTGTGGGAGTACAATCAGTGACTAGCCGCCAGAGTAATCAATTGCAAAAATTTAACTTATGATCCATCAAGCCAGGACTCAATCCGGGATCTGACTCGTCCAGTATTATCATCAGCTGAAATCATAAATACTTGATTTACACTGATTCATCTATTCTATACACATTTTCAAGTCAGCTGCAGTAACTCTCAGAATACATGATGTCAGGCAGCATTGGCTGATTATCACAAAGCTCAAACATACGAGCAAAGCATACTGAAGCTGTGCAATTATCAGGGTTCCTCCTTGATTGATTTTTGTACCTAATTTGTACCACATCCTTATTGTATTGCTCAAGTAAGCTTCTGTTTTACAACATGCAACCAGTGGATGCTGGTACAGGCAACAGATAGAGATAGAATTATAGACAGTAAAAAGAATAGAATTCTAGGCTGAGGGAACTGTACAAAAAAAAAAATTTTTTTTTTTAAGGTAATATGATGTGAAACAGCAGCAATCGTAGTGGAATGTCATAGAGGAGCCTTGTCGATTTGGGCAAAGTTACAGTTTTAAAATTCAGAGACAGCAGAACATTGAAGCCAACACCAGCAGGCTGTTTTAATTGGCAAATCCAGAAAGACGACAACACTGGTACCAGGAGCAGAAACATGCTGGCAAAACCAAACGAAATTGGTTAACCAGAGTAACAGTTCACACCATAAAAAGCATGGAAAAACTTTGGAATTTGATCTAAGTGGCTAGACAGTACAGTGGTGACAAATATGTTGCTTTTTGTCTTCAATACCTGCAATATTCATGTCACAGGCAATCATTTCATTTATCTGTAAATTATTTTGTACATATTTCATATATAATTTAAACTAGATCAAGTAAAGGCGTGGCAGCAGAGGTGATACACCACAAGTGTCACTTGTGAGACTCTCTCAGAAGTATTGAGATTCAAGGTAATCATATCCATCAATAAATATTTGCATCTTCAGGAACTGCAGCTTAGTGGTTGAGCTGGTGTCCAATGTATAGACATTGCACGGTATCAGGGAAGACAAGAGTTACCTTGACACTTCAACAAGTAGTCGTCATAAAACTTGAGTTCAGAAGTGGAGTCAGTTTGGTTAGTTGTCATGTGTGGTTCAAGAGAGCACTCTACTCTAGAAAAGCCTGAGCCTTTGTCCTTACACAGCAGAGTGCCTGGAATGTTACGCTGCCTTCCCAGCGTCAGGCTAAGCACAGCCCGGAGGTAAAGAACAACTTTGGAGTGCAAGAGGAATGATCCAGTTGTCGCAGTCCGCATTAGAACCAACAACATAGATACAAGCAGAAGTAGAAATAATGTTCTACTGAAAGACATTGAGGAGTGGTTCCCAAATTAAAACAAAGAACCTCAAGCGCAATCATCGTTGGATTCTTAGTTGAGCAATGCATCGACTGGCGTAGGGCAAATCTAATTAGAGAATCAAAAATGTGACCGAGTGGCAGAGGAATAATGGGTTTCAACTCATCAGGCAGAGCTGTTCATTGGGATGAACTCCAATAAAATTGGCCCAAAATCAATGTCTTGGTGATTATACCTCTAGGATTTAGATTGGGAATTAAACTTGGGGGAGAACAGAAGGAATTCAGGAGAAAGGAGACTTAGAAATCAAAAAGCAAGTCAAATTACAGAACAGTGCAAGAATTTAAAGGAAGACCAGCAGTATGATACAGAAATTGACAGCAATGGTGCATCGAAAAAAATAGTCATGCAAATAGTGGTTTAAAAAAGGCTCATCTGAACACCTAATGCATTCACATGAAGAGTTGGTGGGACAAATAGAGTTAAATGGCATGGTTATAAAGTGATCAAGATTGGAAAATAAACATTCCGGTGTACACAACATTTCAAAAAGACAGATACAATGTAAAAAGAAGCCGTGTAATGCAAAAAGCATTGACAGTGAAGGACAACTAACAGTGAGAAAGAATCTTGGTTCATAAGATCAGAAAGTAGAATCATAATGGATGGAGATTTCGAATACCAAGGATCAAAAAACACAGGTGGAAATAGTTTACAGGTCCCCTAACAGTGGCTATACTAACAGATACAGCATCAAGAGAAAAAAAATTACAGCTTGTGACAAAAGCAATAATTCTAAGGGTTTTAAATCTAAATACATATTGGAGCAAATGGGCAACGGTGGTCTGCAAAAATACCTTTGTATTAATCGAGCAAACTATGACAATTTGGAACCAGAGATAATGCAATGAAGCAGTTAATTAGCAATCTCACTGTGAACAAACAACTAAGCAACTAAGTAACTAAAATAAAATTGAATTCCATATCAAGTCTGAAAGCAGCACTGTTCATTTTCACAAAAGAATCTTAAACTTGAATCAAACCAACTATATAGAATGGACAGGAAGATTGGATACAGTTCATTGGATAAACTGACAAAAAAAGAAAATTTATTTATTGGATTATCTCATGCTAATGTTTTGTTACCCTCTTCACCACTTCTAATGCGGATCGTGACAACTGGATCATTCCCCTTGCACTCCAAAGTTGTTCTTCACCACCAAGGTGTTCTTAGCCTGACACTGGGAAGGCAGCATAACATTCCAGCCACTCTGCTATGTAAGGACAAAGGTTCAGGCTTTTCTAGAGTAGAATGCTCTCTTGAACCATACATGATAACTAACCAAACTGACACCACGTCCTCTGCAAAACTGGATGAGGATATTGAGCACAACATGTCCAAGTTATTCATAGAGTTTGCAATTAGCACGAGATCCAAACACCATTGCGTTTTTGACTTAGGTACAGCCTGTCAACACAACCTTGTTACATTTATTTCTGCACTGTTTTCTATCTGTTAACCAGATCTTAATCCACATAATGACCCTTAACTGAGACCAAATAGTATGTGATAACCTCTTGTGGCACCTTACCAAGTGCTTTTTGGAAATCGAAATACATTACATCTACTGTTTACCTTATCAAATCCTCAAAAACATCAAATTTATTAAACAATTTCTTTCAATGGAAGGGAAATGATCAAGCAAAGTTTGAAAACCTTAAAGAATGAGACGTGATCTGATCAAAAGATTAATGGAAAGCTTGAACTGGTACATACAAACAGACTGCTTCCTTCAGCAGGAGGGAATACTGCAGGGGTGAAAAACGCTCCTACAAGTACCACTTTTTGAATGAGATGTCATGCAAAGATTCCATCTTCCCACGTGGATTGCTTTGAAGTATCCCGTGGCTCTACTACCCTGGCTAAATTCTGCCTTCAGTCATCACAGATACAGATTTTTGGCCAATTATCATATGACAACGGGAATTTGCTCTGTGCATACTGTCTACAACATTTCATAAATTTCAAGCGACTAGATTTCAAAAAGTACTTAATTATCCGTAATCACAAGATTTGCTCGTGCTTTGTGAATTCATTGTTATTTTTCCTATGGAAAACTGAGGGAAACCAAACAAAAACTAAGCCTATTTGGCAGTGAGATTAAAAACTGATGAAAATGGTAGGTTACAGATATACCAGCTGGGACATTGCAGGTGAGTAGAACTTGAGAAACAATTGCAGACAAGCTTCAAGAAGGAGCTCATTCCTTCAAATCAACCTCAATTTTGCACTGTGGTATTTAATCCAGCTTAATTCCCTACATGGAGGTGTCACAAAGGCAAAAGCTTATGTAAGAATAAAACTCAATGCCAAAGTAAGAGAGAAAACTTCAGGTCCTATTTGAACATTGAAACCTACACCATTCAATGTAATATTCCAGAAATGAGTTAGTCACAGTTGCAACATACCAAGAAATCAGAGTTCCTATTCAAGCAAAAATGTATAGAAGTCCTCTATTTAGCTATTGGGCACAGGACTAGTACAAGGTATCAACACGATCTTTGACAAAACCAAGGTGATCTCAAGAACTCAAGCAATTAAGCGCAAAACCATTGCAAATGTCATGCTTCACGTCCACTAAACAGGAAGCAACTATTCCACAAAGAGATCAATTTTTGTGCCTGACTTTATCCCAGTATCCATCAGATTTTATTTCCATCTGATGCAAGCACAAATCAACACATAACTAATAGGAAATTTCTCTTTTCAAAACACAGCTTTAGATTTTCATAGTATCAGTATTCTGTGAACCAGTTCAATACTCAGCACAGACCAACATGAACCTGCCAAAATTACTCCAATGACAAACAAAACCCAGCCATACATTTTCACCATGCACAGTGTATAATCCACAGGTGATCACTTCCACTTCCTCAAGATCAATTAGAGATGGGCAATAAATGGTGACCTTGCCTGTGTGATGCATGCATCCCAGAAGTGCATTTTCAAAATAAAAAAGGTTGACTGGAAGTTAATGAGAATATTTCCAACATGTTTTTTCCAAGAGTTTTTCCAACTTATTTGACTGTTTGTAGCTTTGGAAACTGATGACAAAACAAAAATTGACAGCTCTGCCCTTTCAAATTTAAAACTGCCCATATTCTTCCACTAATATGCCCCAAATTTACCTTCAAATCAGCTAAACTCCCTTAAACAGAGTCATAAATTTGAAACACAATAGAAAACTTGAAAACGTGGTAATTTAGTAACTCAAAACTCACCTGTACTGATGTGACAGGAACTGGTACATTTGTCACAGTTTCTGGACTCAGGGCACGTCTTAATTGGGCATCCAAAGTGTCTAACGGTTGTTGTGACTGAAGGACGACAGAAGTTTTAATAAGTTAGTTATCCACAAATTCACGCTGCACCATAAATAGCAGTGCACTTCTAATACTCATTGATACTTCAGCTGAAATATTATTGTAGCTACAGTTTCAACTTCCCCTGGTTTTGAATCAAACCTATGGTAGAGTTCTTACATAAAATTCTCAAAAATAGGAATGCAAAAACACTGAATTCCTAGTATTATTGCACAAAAAAAAGGTCAATATTGATTCACACCTTAATTTTAAGTTCAAAACCACTGACTTGGCAATCTCTAAAAAGGGTGGGGGTAACTAAGAGTTACAGAAAGTATTTTCTTGGACTAGCTATTAAGTTCTGAGCAAAAGGCTCCTTGCCACCAGAAACCAATGAAGCTGCAGATCTATAGACTTATTTGCCTATTTGGTCAGTAGTTTGTAGCCCTGGACAAAAATATTTAAGAGATAACGTGAAAAATCTAAAACAGATGCATCTCACATTTTACTTTCTACAATGGCTCACATGCCAATGTCTTATTGAATATATTCTGTTCAAACATTGGAGCCAACTATAGAATCACAGAATGATTACAATACAAAAAGAGGTCATTTAGCCCAACAATTCTGTACCACTTCTCTGTAAGAATACTTTAGCTCATCCAATTCCCTCACCCTTTTGCCATAGCCATGCAGGCATTTATTCAATTCCCTTTTCAAAACCACACATAAATCAGCTGCCACTCCATACAAAGGCAGTGAAGCCCAGATCCTAATCATCATGGTATTAAAAAAAAAGAGTTCTGCCTCATTTGTCATTCAGCTTCTCCAGAGGTCGTCATCCCTGGAACCCTTCTTAGAAATGTTTCCGGCACTCGCCTTCACATCTTTCTGAAAGTGTGATGTCCAGAACAGCATGCAATACTCCAGTTGTATATAAACCAATATTTATAAAAGGTTCATCATAACCACCTTGCTTTCATGTTCTATACCTCAATATCGAAAACCTAGACTCCTACCCTGCAGCCCAATGGTCTCAATGTGAACTTCACAAGCTCCCCACCCCCGACCTCATCCCAAGACCAGCCCAACTCGTCCCCGTCTCCTTGACCTGTCCATCTTTTCTCTCACCTATCCACTCCTCCCACCTCACTGACCAACACCACCACCCCCACCCCCCACCGACTTCCTACCTACTAGCCTCATCCCCGCCTCTTTGACCTGTCTGTCCTCCCTCAACTGACCAACCCCCATTCCAACTCCCTACGTACACTCACCTTTACTGGCTCCATCCCTGCCTCCTTGACCTGTCCATCTTCTCTCCACCTATCTGCTCCTTTATCCACCTTCCATCATCGTCTCCCACTCTCTCTATTTATTTCAGCGTCCCCTTCCCCTCTCCCATTTCTGAAGAAGGGTCCAGACCCGAATCATCAGCGTTCCTACTGCTCTGATGCTGCCTGGCCTGCCGTGTTCATCCAGCTCTACACTTTATTATCTCAGACTCCAGCATCGGCAGTTCCTACTATCTCTGCATGAATTAGTAACCACTTTCTCAACCTGCCTGACACTTTAAGCAACTGTGATAACAAGGTGGGGCTTGTGAAATTGGTTTGCAACAAACAACTACACCTCCCAGTCACGAACCATTTCAACTCCCCCTCCCACTCCTTGGACGACGTGTCCATCCTGGGCCTCCTGCATTGCCACAATGATGCCACCCAAAAGCTGCAGGAACAGCATCTCATATTTCGCTTGGGAACCCTGCAGCCCAAGGGTATCAATGTGGACTTCACAAGCTTCAAAATCTCCCCTCCCCCTACCGCATCCCAAAACCAGCCCAGCTCGACCCGCCTCCCTAACCATTCCTCCCGCCTCAAGCCCCACCCCCATCTCCTACCCACTAACCTCATCCCGCCTCCTTGACCTGTCCGGGCTCCCTGGACTGACCCATCGCCTCCCTAACTCCCCACCTACATTCACCTTTACTGGCTCCAACCCCGCCTCTTTGACCTGTCTGCCTCGTCTCCACTTATCTTCTCCTCTATCCATCTTCTATCCGCCTCCCCCTCTCTCCCTATTTATTTCAGAATCCCCTTCCCCTCCCCCATTTCTGAAGAAGGGTCTCGACCCAAAACGTCAGCTTTCCTGCTCCTCCGATGCTGCTTGGCCTGCTGTGTTCATCCAGCTCTACACCTTGTTATCTCAGATTCTCCAGCATCAGCAGTTCCTACTATCACTTTAAGCAGCTGTTTCTGTTTCATACCCCTTTTACAACTATAGCTATTAACTGGCATGCCTCTCCTCATTCTTCCTTCCTAAATGCATCGTCACACTACGCTGTATTAAATTGTCGGTGCTATGTATTAATGTATTTCACCAGCTTGTCTTTGCCTGGCCTTCTGTCCAGAGAGTGTCTATCACAATACACCTCATACTTAATATTTTCAGGCTTTGTGTCATCTGCAACATCTGAATTTGTGCCTTGTGCAACCAAACTTTAGTCGTTCTATTTCCTGTCACTTAGTCAATTTTGGATCCTTGCTGCCACTGACCCTTTCATTCCATGGGCTTCAACTTTGCTAACATGGCTATTATGTGGCAAGTTAGCACACACCAACCGCAATACCTCATCAACCTTCTGTTCAACAACAAGCTCAACAACAAAAGACAACCAGCAAATTGAACAACTTTCGTTCAAATTCACGCCAGCTTACTGTTAATTAAACCTAATTTGTCCAAATCACCATTTATTTCAAACCAAAGTTAAACTAATTAGCCTAATAATCCCCTACATCCTTTTTCAAACAAAAGTGTAGCATTTTCATTGATAATTTAAATGCTTTAAACCTATGATCACTGCTCCCCAATATGCTCTCATCCATCTATTTGAAAGCCTCATTCTTCAGAACGAGAGCCAGCCAAGTCTCCTGCCTCATTAGGCGAGAGATTCATTGGTTAATAAAACTCTTCCGAATAAACTTCAGTAAATATTCTCCCTCTCAGACAGCTAAACTATTGAAAGGGCAAAAGTTGAAAAACAGTACAAGTCAGGCTGCTGGAACCAAGTGCAACCAGTAGGTTTTTCTGCATAGCCAAGTGTGTGACAAATTTCAAGTGATAATGTTAGAATGTTGCCTGTGTAACAAACTAACTGCGCAATCAGATGATTTAAACTATCACTAATTAGATCTAAAAGACTAATCACTAAAAGACCTTGGCCGACTGAAAAAGTATGATTGTAATCAAGAGTAACTGATTGTGGGAATTTGCATGCCATCTTCGAATCCTGATCGAATAAACTGGTGAACAAGGAAACTCTAGTCTCATCAGGTCACAGAGTGAGGAAGGCAGTTTGAACTCTCAGCCTTTATTGGGATAATTAAAATCCATATTATTCTACAGTTCTTGCACCTCTCCAATTTTCCTGAAAATTTTCACTAGTTGGTGAATTACAAATACACTCATAGTATACTGGCACTTGTATAAATTCTGATCTTAAGTGGGACACAGAAATGTAGCACTTAGGAGCAAGAGGAAGTCATTTAGCCTTGTGGGGCTGCTTCATCGTTCAAGATGATTATGGTTGATTAGGTTGTGGTCTCAATTCTACGTTCCTTCCAGCACCTCATAAGCCTTTCAACTCCCTTGTCTATCAAAAATACATTGACAAGAACTGGAAGACATCTTTTCTCCTTCCAGCACAATAACATTCCTCTTAAATCAAGTGTCACTGCTCCAGTACTACATTTCATTAAGGTTTTGGAGTAGATTTATAGCTCGGGTTATGGGTGTTGTGGTTGGTTGGCTCGCTGAACTGGTTGGTTGTTCCGCAGACGTTTCATTACCCTGCTGGGTAACATCATAGGTGCAGCCTCCGATGAAGCTTCATCATAATAGTGTTTTCATATTCTAATGGCACCTCATTTCTCCTTTCCAATGCTACATTCTACTTCCCACCCCTGGCCAATTTAACTCCACCTCATTTAATACTAGCTCCTGATACCGACTTGAAGCTAAATGTGCGCATGAACATTCTAGCACACTGGTCATCTCCAAACAGCCAGGCTGCCTGACACCACTTGGTGTCGACAGGGGAAGCAATGGCCTAGTGGTATTGTCCCTGGACTGTTAAGCCAGAAACCCAGGTAACGTTCTGGGGACTCGGGCTCCAATCCCACCATGGCAGACAGTGGATATGGAATTCAATAAAAATCTGCAATTAGAAGTCTGGTGATGAAAACAATTGTCAGAAAAACCCTATAGGGAAGGAACTACCATCCTTACCTGGTCAGGCCCACACGTGACTCTAGACCCACAGAAAGTGGTTGACTCTTAATTGCCTTCTCGGCAACTAGGAATGGGCAATGCATGCTGGCATAGCCAGTGATGCCCTCATCCCATGAATGACTATATAAAAGAAGTCAGTGCCCCCATTTGTGGTTCTGGGGCCCATGACTAAGAAGTTGTCATAGAGTCAGACAGTCATAGAGGTCTACTGCACAGAAGTAGTCTCTCTGGCTTATCACGTCTGCGTCTATCAAAATAAGCACCAAACCGTTAAAATTCCGTTTTCCAGATCACAATTTCTCAAACAGTGGAATGTCGACATGATTTGCTCTCTATGTCAATGAAGAGAAAATGCTTGAGGAGGTTTTGATGATTCAGAATGTACCCACAGGTTCAGAGATATTTCATGCAATCGAAAAGGCTTTTTTCCCCCCAAAAGAAGCGTCTGGATTAGAAATACACTGTTGGTCTTATATAGTGATGGAGTAGAGGTGGTGATCAGTAGGAGCTTTCCTTGGCCTTGTTTGAACTGATGCCATGAGACTTCGTGGTATCTGGTATTCAAACTGGCCAACCCAATACATGTAACAAAAGGCCAGAGATCAGGCTAAGGTTGACTGGCTGCCATTCTCTCCCTTGGAATATTTGGTAGCAACAGCTCTGAGTGCAAGTTTGGGTGGCCCTGGAGTGACAGTAATTGTATAAAAGTCACTGCTCCCCCAACCCCCTCCTCATTTCTAGCATATTCTGACTACCCTCCTATCTCTATACTCAACAGCACATGGTATTGGAGTAATCCAGCAGCCACTACCTTTGCAGGTCTTTTTTTTTTGTCTCTTTGGCAACTTGCCCCAGTGTGCCTGCAAGAACTCATTCCACTCTATGATGTTGGTATCAACTGTGGACCACAATCTCAGTGTATTGTCCCCTTGAACACTCTGCAACTGCACAGTGACATGTGTTGGCTGATGCATCATGGAGACAACATGCCAACCTGAAATCAAGTCTGCTGCAGCTGCAAAAACATCTATTTGACCAAACTGTAGAATTCTCCCATTACTACTTTTTTCCTACAAAATAGCCTCCTCCCTCACGAGCATAGTTATCCACATATTCTCCAGCTCCAAAACCCTAGGTGATGACACCCTCTGCATTTGAGAAACATCCAAGACCTTGGAGTGCACAGTTCCTTGCAAGTGGAGCCCCAGTGGACAGGATTGTGAATAAGGCATTTGGTATGCTTGCCTTTATTGTTCAGTGCATTGAGTTGGGAGGTCATGTTGTGGCTGTACAGGACACTGGTTAGGCCACTATTAGAATACTGCATCTAATTCTGGTCTCCCTGCTATAAAAAGGACGCTGAGAAACTTGAAAGGATTCAGAAAAGATTTACAAGGATGTTGCCAGGGTCGGAGGGTTTAAGTTATATACAAAGGCTGAATAGACTAGGGCTATTTTACCTGCAGCAACAGAGGCTGAGCGGTGACCTTCTCGAGGTTTATAAAATGAGGGGCATGGAGAGAGTAAATAGGCCTATTCATGTACCCATCCAGATGCCTTTTAAAATGTTGTAATTGCACCTATCTCCACCAATTTCTCTGGCAGTTCATTCCATACACGCACCACCCACTGTGTGAAAAAAGTTGCCCCTCAGGTCCCTTTTAAATCTTTCCGCTCTCACCTCAAACCTATGCCATCTAGTTTTGGACTCCCTCACCCTGGAGAAAAGACCTTGTCTATTCACCCTATCCATGCCCCACATGATTTTATAAACTTCTTTAAGGTCACCTCTCAGCCTCCAACACTCCATGGAAAATAGCCCCAGCCTATTCACCCTCTCCCTATAGCCTCAACCCTTCAACCTTCACAACATCCTTGTAAAGCTTTTCTGAACCCTTTCAAGTTTAACAACATTTTTCCTCTAGCAGGGAGACCAGAACTGAACGCAATATTTCAAATGTGGCCAAATCAATGTCCTGCTTATGCACAACATGACCTCCCAACTCCTATACCTAATACACTGACCAATAAAGACGAGTGTACCAAAGCCTTCTTCACGACCCTCTCTACCTGTGACCCCACTTTTAAAGGAACCATGAACCTGCATTAGATCCTGAGGAAGGGTCACCGGACCCGAAACGTTTTTTCCTTCACAGATGCTGCCAGACCTGCTGGGCTTTACCAGCAACTTTGTTTTTGTTCCCAATTTACAGCATCCATAGTTATGTCAGTTTTTAAACCTGCATTCCAAGGTCGCTTTGCACGGCAACACTCCAAGGCCTTACCAGTAAGGTGTACAAGCCAACCCAACAGCAAACAGAGTTGAGCTAGATGCTAAAATACATCTAAGTGAGCTTATTATCACAAGTGGATGCTTATCCATTGGTTGCAGATGATGTTGCTGAAAGTGAGGTGAAAGAGAAGTCATTAAAAATCCTCGAGGAACTCCAAATAAGACTGAAAATAAAAACAAAAACATTCTTGGAGATGCTCTGGCTACTTTGGATAAGATGTAAATGTTGATGGAGGAAAAGAGACAAAGGAGGAAGTTAACGTTATCAACTATTTCAATTGATATCCAATATCAAAGAGGTGAAACACCATGTAAACAGAGGATTTTCTTGGACTTTCTTCAATCTCCAATTTGTTGACAGATCTAGAAATAAACACAAGGAAGCCATAGGTCCAAATTCACCATTCCTCACCAAACATGCTGCTGTTGATGCACCACTAACCTCATATTTTGTCGCAAATTATCAGTCTATCTCACATATTTTACAAAATAAATCTAATTTGCATTAATTGCTTCAGCTATATGCCTCAGGAGTCTGCTTCACATTGGTTCAATGAAATATTGTCTCTGCATTCATTTTTAATCCCCCTCTTTCTTCAAGTGTGCATCATGTTCTCTGGTTCTACTTTCCAAACAGTGATCCCCCTCATCTAGTTGCGAAACAGAGGTGGGCATTTGGATTGAGGGTTGTTGGGTTACTTGAAGATGGTTTTCGAAATAGACATTGTAAAAGTAATAAAATCACTTAGGGAGTCTGAACAGATACGATTTGGAATGGAGAAAAAGAAAGGATCCAAAACAATCATGAAGTTAGGGAGGATACAAGATATGATTAAAGGGGTGGTTAAGGTTATGATTACAGAAAATCTTAAAAAGGAAATCAGAGAAGCAAAGCCTAGTTTGAAGACTAAAAGCACTGAATGTGTATCAGGGGTAAGCAGAAAGTCATGTCCAGGAAGAAATTAACATAAGGATTAGGGTGGGGGTGGGGATGGAAATAGCCTTCTCTCTCAAACCAGATATTAAACTAAAGCAACAATGTTCTCAGGTAAACACAGAATCACACAATATTATTTCCAAGATGACCAGAGGAATCCTTCCCAATGTTCCAACCAATACTTACCTCTCAATCAGTATCACAAAATAAATTCTGGTCATTATCACATTGCTGTTCAGATGATCTTGCTTTGCAAGGCTGAATTATTTGCCATGCTTCTGACATTACAATAGCTTTACAAAAAGAGTAAATTCAATATCTTGGGATAGCAAGAGAGAGTAAACAGTTATGACGGGTTAGAATAGAGATCAGGGTAGGCAAAGTACCTCAGGAAGGAAGATGAAAGCGGTCCTGCTAGGTTAATGATGGAGGTGCCAGTGTTGGACTGGGGTGGACAAGGTCAGAAGTCAGACAACACCAGGTTATAGTCCAACAAGTTTATTTGAAATCGCAAGCTTTCACAGCATTGCCCCTCCATCAGGTGAAGTGCCTGACAAAGGGGCAAAACACTGAAAGCTTGTGATTTCAAATAAACCTATTGGACTATAACCTGATGTCATCTGACTTCTGATCTGCTAGTTGAAGATAGACAGCAGATCCTGTGAAGGGATAAATTAAGAGCGAGAAAGTAGTAGTGAACTCAGGTCTGGAATTTAAGCTAGAAAAAGTGTACATACGACTGGACATAGACTGCCATGTTCTGGAGGCATATGAAAGTACAGGCAATAGCAAATGCTGACAACAAAATGACATTGTGAATCAATCTAAAAGATTCAAGTACAATGAAGTCTACTTGCATGGTGGTACATGTGGTTTTTAAAAAGTCTACCAAGAAATTAGTACATTCCCTTTGCTCCCAGGACACAGTATCATGATGGAGCACTGCTAGTTGAAGTGATCAACACAATACTCTACTCAAAGGAAACACTACGGTCACATCAGTAACTGTCCACACCTCATGCACATTGGAACATTTTCAGCAGAATCCACCTTACATGGATTTATGAAAATGACAGTAGCTTTGATGTTTCCTGCATAAAATTACTACAGTAGGTGCTAAACCATTTTTCAACACAGTTTGTTGGATGAGTTAACAATATTGAAGCACAGTTAATTAACCAAGTTGCAAATAACCTAACCTATATTATTAATTGATGCATTGAGCGCTCCAAAACCACTAACCGCTGCATGCACATTAAAGAGCATTCTGTGATTAGAAACACTCATGAAATAGAACATTTGCATGTACATTGATCGATCTGTCATACATTGTCTATTTCTTCTGTTAACCTGATATAGATCAAAGGGATCAATTTATCAAACCCTTGGGTGTTGCACTTTGATGTGATAACTTAAAGTGAAATGGTTAATAAGCATGACACAGAACATGCAACAGATAACTTGCAATGAAGAGATGAATTACATGCAAACATGGCACAGAGAGTAATGAATTCACAAAAGAGCACACTGGGTAACATTATTGCACCTGGGTTAGTGAAGGTCCTGGAAAAGATGGCAACTGCTCAGTGGGTGGAGTGAGAGCTTGTTTTAATTGCTGATCAAGAGCTTCCGTGCTTAGCTGTTGCACCTACAAGTAATGAATGGGAAGAGCAATTGCATCAACCAAGGCTTAGACCAAATGGCTCAGCAAATATAGGTTTTGAATGATATTCTCAATTTATCGTATCAACAGGCTATTCCAATTTAGACAAAGAATTTAGCATTCTATAACAAAATCTAATATTCAAATACAACAAACAAAGTGAAATAAGCAAAACAAAACGTTCAAAGTATATTCTAGAGTTTTAGTAAATCACTATGCAGCATTTTCTGTGTTTGATCACAAATTCCATTACCGGTAAAATAATATTCCATCACATTATTTATTTCTACAGTTTGTGACAGAGTTGAAGTTATCTTTATCGCAATTTGGTAACTGATATCAAAAGTAATCTTGATCAAAACAAACAAGGGAGCTACAATTTTCATACTAAGATGCGACTTGAAGTGATATGTGCTCCTCCCATGTATAGTTTCAACAGTTATCAAATCCTGTGCCTCTCATGTGGATTTAAAGGCACCAACAGCAGAGACCTGGCAACAGGAACTACAGTCATCTTGTGACATATGTGACCACATATAGACATGACCATATGTGACCACCTTATTGAATATAATTGACAGATTAAAAGAGGGGTGGGATGGTACATAAAATAAATAAAGTAAACTCAGAAATTTGGTACAGGTTGGATTGGCACCACAGACCAGCGCTCAAAGCTAAATTATCGTACAAATTCTCAGACAAAAGAAATTGAATTAATTTACGTATGGTTTTTGTTTTGCTTTCTCACACACAGACCTTTAAACTATGCACTTAAGTTTCTTAAACTTCTGGTTAACTTACTGGTAATCTGCCAAGTGGTGGCTTGGAAGGTGGAGTGCCTGGCCGCCCTGCAGTTGTAATGACACTCGTCAAGGATACGGTATAACTGGCAGGAGTCAAAGGTTGTTGGACAGTTAAAGGAAGTCCTGTAGGGCCAAGAGGTAGACTAGAAGGAGGTATGACAGACCCTGTGGCAGTTACTGGGTAGGATGCAACGGTAACTGTTGAAGTCCCTGGAGCAGCAGATGCTTTTCCTGAAATGAGCAAACTATCAACTGTGGTAGATTCTGCAACCAATCCCATCTCCGAAGAGGCTGAAATGTGAGCACAGCCTGCAGCACTATGTTCACTGAACAAGGATCGAAGCTTTTCATCTAAGGTCTTGATATTATCAATGCCTGTTCCTTTGGTGTTCAAATCTATGTCGACTTCAGAGCAATGAATATGGGGTTGATTTGGAAGAAAAGCTGTTTGAGGCCGACTGTGAATCAGTGTTTGTTGAACAGAAGGAATACTGCAAACAGGCTGTGCAGTTCCTGTGCCAGGTATAGGGGTCTGGGTTGCCAGGGGCACAGAAATGCCCACTGTTTGAGGTAGGATGGCATGTTGCGAAGTAACTGTTTGAACCACAGGAGATTGAGTGCCACAAACAGGCAATAATGGTGGTGAGGTGGAAACTGCCAGCGTGATTATATTACCATCCATCGGATGGATTTCTGCTTGGGTTGCACTATACAAATTCTCTTTCTGGCTCTGAAACAAGTTCATTGAAACTGAAGATTCTGCCAGGCTGACCACAGATCCCCCATTAAGCTGTTGAGGGGCTGGCAAAATCACAGCTTCAGTGGAAGATGGGGAAACAGACGTTGAAGGTCCTACACTGATAGTAGTTTCTTCAAGCAGAGCTTGACTAACTTGTGATGTTAATGGTGGCACTAATGAGCTTACAACTGAAACACTCGTGACATGACCACTAATTAGTTGCTGACCTGACTGAGAGGTCCAAGGTGGAGATGCACAACTTGGAACACTAACAGCAGCAGCAGGGCCACCAACAGACAGCTGTGCTGACTGAGAGGTTGGAGGAAGCAATATGGAACTCGGGCCAATGACACCAGCAATGCTTTCACTATTTAACTCAGCTGGCTGAGATTGAATATTCTGTACCATGGCTTGGGATGCAGAACTAGCAGTTATGAGACTAGCTGGTGCTGATGACGATACCGCCATTTGTATATGAATTCCTTGTCCAATACTGGTCATTTCTGGATGTGCCATAGTAAATGGTGCCATAGTTTGATTGAAGATTGGAGGAGCGGTATTAGGACCTTCTTGAAACGGTTTATGCTTTAAATCTGAAAAGGCTTGTTGCAAGCTCACTGAAGAAGCTGAGTGTGATAGGTTTAGATTGGGACTATGGGAACCAGCTGTAAAAGAACAAAGAACATCTCAATTAGAACAAATAACATTTTTCAATACAAGACCTCTAAAGAGCAAATTCAATCTTCCCATAACATGGTTCTTTTTAAATAAGAGTTTCAATGCCAGTTCATACCTCCATCAGTGGAAGAGCTTCCTCAACTGTCTACAGTGGTGAGATATTAAATATATAGCTTTCAAACAAAATACCATATGCAATACTAATACTCTTTTAAATCTTGTAACAGTGGCTATTTCCATTCATTGGGTCTAAATGCTTTTTCATGTAAAGGGAAAAAATGTCTACCATAGCTGACCGTTTGAATCATGTCATTAATGAAGCTAAGTAGAGCCGACCTACCTTGCTTCTATTCCCCCATTAGTGAAGCCAAGGATCCAACACACTTTTTCAACAGCTCTCTCATTCTAACATCCAAAGATCTATGTACATCCATCCACATCTGCATTCCTACACATCTCGTTTAATGTTTGATCATTTAGTTCACACACCTTCTCATGTTTTACTAGCAAAAATGTATCACTTTACACTTGGTTGATACAGTTTCTTTGCTGTGTGTCTGCCGATTTCACCAGTATATCATTTTATCCATTGTCTAGTACATATTTAAATTTCTTCTATTTGGAAATTAGGATGTTAGCCCTTGCATATAACATAACATGGACTTGAATACCCAGGATATGAATAAATATCAAAAAACAGTGACTCCTATGGAACAACTTGAATATTTTCAGATTGGAAAAAAATATATCAACTATTCTCCACTGCTGTCTGCTTTCCATCACATTGCCAATTTTATATCAGCACTTCATTATTCTTTTAATTAGATAGCTTAAATTTTACTGACAAGTCTAATTTTCCAATCAGTTGAATGGCTTCTGAAAGTCTAGATACATAAAGTGAACCATCCACATCAGTGCTGTTATTCCAAACAACACAATTAAGTTAATTAACATTTTTAAAGTAAATTTGTGTTGACTTTCTTTTATTAGCCCAAACTTTTCTAAATATCAATTAATTTTATCCCTGTGCATCGACTGTTATTTTTTATTAGAATACAAAGAAGAACAAAGAAAATTACAGCACAGGAACAGGCCCTTCGGCCCTCCAAGCCTGCGCCAATCCAGATCCTCTATCTAAACCTGTCGCCTATTTTCCAAGGATCTGTATCCCTCTTTTCCCTGCCCATTCATGTATCTGTCTAGATACATCTTAAATGACGCTATCGTGCCCGCCTCTACCACCTCCGCTGGCAACACGTTCCAGGCACCCACCACCCTCTGTGTAAAGAACTTTCCACGTATATCTCCCTTAAACTTTTCCCCTATCACCTTGAAATCGTGATCCCTCGTAATTGAGTCCCCCACTCTGGGGAAAAAGCTTCTTGCTATCCACCCTGTCTATACCTCTCATGATTTTGTAGACCTCAGTCAGGTCCCCCCTCGACCTCTGTCTTTCTAATGTAAATAATCCTAATCTGCTCAACCTCTCTTCATAGCTAGCGCCCTCCTTACCAGGCAATATCCTGGTGAACCTCCTCTGCACCCTCTCCAAAGCGTTCATATCCTTTTGGTAATGTGGCGACCAGAACTGTACACAGTATTCCAAATGTGGTCGAACCAAAGTCCTATACAACTGCAACATGACCTGCCAACTCTTGTACTCAATACTCCATCCGATGAATGAAAGCATGCCGTATGCCTTCTTGACCACTATCGAACTGCGTTGCCACCTTCAGGGTACAATGGACCTGAACACCCAGATCTCTCTGTGCATCAATTTTCCCCAGGGCTTTTCCATTTACCGTATGGTTCGCTCTTGAATTGGATCCTCCAAAATGCATCACCTCGCATTTTCCTGGATTGAACTCCATCTGCCATTTCTCCACCCAACTCTCCAATCTATCTATATTCTGCTGCATTCTCCAACAGTCCCCTTCACTATCTGCTACTCCACCAATCTTAGTGTCATCTGCAAACTTGCTAATCAGACCATCTATACCTTCCTCCAGATCATTTATGTATATCACAAACAACAGTGGTTCCAACAGGGATCCCTGTGGAACATCACTGGTCACAGTTCTTCATTTTGAGAAACTCCCTTCCACTACAACTCTGTCTCCTGTTGCCCAGCCAGTTCTCTATCCATCAAGCCAGTACACCCTGGACCTCATGCGACTTCACTTTCTCCATCAGCCTACCACGGGGAACCTTATTTATGCATTAGTTTTATTTGGGGAGTGGGGGGCATTCTTTGCAGGTTTTTTTTTTTAAAGAAAGGAGGGACACAGTGGTATAGCATCACTTAACCGGCTCTGGGAATATTCGTTTAAATCCCATCCTGGTAACTGATAGAACTTAAATTCAATTCATAAATCTAGAATTAGAAGTTAGTGTAAAACAATGACCACAAAACACTTGCTGTTTGTTGTAAAACTCATTTGGTTCACTGATGCCCTTCAGGAAAGAAAAACAAGTCATCCTTACTTAGTCTTCTCTAAGCAACTGTATACTCTCAGCAACGTGAGTGACTCTTAAATGCCCTCTGAAACGGCCTGAAATATATCAAAATGCTTTGAAGTCTAAAGAAATTAAGTAACAAACTGAGCAACTCACCAAAGCTCCTCCAACAACACCTTCCATACCCATAATTTTTACCATCTAGAAGGACAAGGGCAGCTGGCACATGGGAACAATACCACCTGCGGGTTCCTCTTCAAGCTGCACACTATCGTTCATCAAATACAGTCATTCCTCCATTACCACCAGGTCAAAATCCTAGAACTCCCCGCCCAACAGCATTGCAAGTTTCCCTTCACCTCAAGGACTGCAGGCGCTCAAGAAAGCAGCTCACCACTACCTTTTGTAGGTTCAATAACTGCTGGTTGAACTAGTGATAATCACTTCAATGAATGAAAGAAAACACCTACTATTGAATGAGGAACTACAACAACATGGCAAAATCCAACATGGTCAACTCTGCAAATTCTTCCTTTCCAAAACATAGGGACATGCAAAGAATAAATCAAGCAACATATCATATCATCGTAACCAGAAACATCCTTTACAATGTCTCAAACGCCAATCACCATGCCCTTCCCCGAGTATGCACTGCAACACAAAGGTATACAAATCAGGAGGACATTGCCCTGGGAGTCACAAAATTGACTCCAAAGCTTATGAAATCTAATGCTATCAGGTGAAATATGGACAAAGAAACTTCCAACCTCCTTCCAGTCCACCGACCTATCCCCTAACTGCTGCGTAATCCCTACTCATTGAACCCCTCTGGAAAGAAGCAGAGTTAGGTTTTCACAGGACATGGAGCAGTTCTGCAAAACACATCACACCTGCAAGATGATGGGAAAACCACAATATGCAATAAATCTGATACTTTAATTCCCTATCAGTTTCTGAAGAAACATGAAATAGGGTGTTACTTAACTACGTGAGCCCCTTAACAAAAGCAAAACCTGGACACCGATATATCCTTACAATTATGAACAGGGCTGATCAATTCCCAAATGATACCCCAAGAACAATTACTGCTACGGCAGAGAAGCTAAACCAGTTCTCCAATCAAAATAGACATCTGGATATAACAAGTCTTTTGCAAACTATTCACAGACACAAGGAGCATTAGCAAGAAAACACCAAATCCTCAAGTGGCAGCTGAGGTCATGGATATCCTCACAGCTGGGACAAAGGACTGGAATGTCTGTTGCTTGGCATGAAGATTTGTCTAATGAGTCTACTGCTTTTAGTTCTTTTCAAAGAGTTCACAGACATGAGAAAGAAGTCCTCCAAAACTAATCAAAACCAAAGTTTTTAAAATCCTCTGCTAGACAATGCAGCTGTGCTCTGGCAGTCGCTCACAAGGACATGCAGATAGCTCAAAAATCACACAGCAGTTCAAACAACAATGAAGAAACACCGTCAGTACGTCAAACTCCAAACATGTCAAGCAGGAGAAGAAGTATTTGATTTGTTGCCTATACTCAGTGAACTGCCAGAAGCATGGTTCAGTGATTCTTATAATACAGTAAACAGGATGGTAAATGGACTAATTGACACCCCAGATTGCCAGAAAGAGAACAGGCCATGAACTATCAACATGTTGAATCAATAACAGCATCAAGATGTTTTAGATCCAGAGAAACAGGCTCAAATGAGAGAAATCCAAGATATGTTGTCAAACTACCTAATTTAACAGAGTCAGAGTCAAAGTAGTGAAGATCCCCAATCAGCTTTGTGTCTAAACATAACAATTTGGCCAGATTCTGCATAAACTACAAAAAGGTCAATGCAATGACAAAGGCAGATTCTTAGCCAATTCATCACCTCGAAGACTGTATTCATAGAAATAGCATGCCGGATTTCAAACTAAAATAGATTTGATAAATTACTTCATCGATGAGTTCCTTCGACATCCCAAGCTAAAGAGATATCTGCCTTTGTCACTCAAGGGAGTATTTTTCAATACTGAGTGATGACTTTCAGGCTTAAAAAAAAATCCCCCTACCATTTTTCAGAGATTTGTTAATCAAGTGGTAGCCAGTGTTCCTAACAATAGTTTATGCCATTACAGCATAAACTAAGACTTGGAAGGACCACAAGAGTCTATTAGGAAAATTACAAATCAGTCAATCTGGTAACAAACCTTGCCAAAAGTGAGTTTGCAAAAGCACAGGTAACCTATTTCGAGCATATCATAACAAAGACAAGCGGTGCCAAGAACAAAGGTACAAATATTGGTGGAGTTTCTTGACGTTAAAATAAGTAAGAAATCGTGAGGTTTGTTTTTGGGGATGTGGAATCGGACATAAAGAAACCAGTGAGAAACTTTTCTAATAGTTAAATTGACCAACAATGGAAAAAATCATCCTGGGTTGTGACTGGTTCTTAACCAGAGGTATATGCCCCTGAAGGCAACAGGAAATCACTGATCATAATCCTTTGAGAAAACAGGGATACAGACAAATTAAGGTAGCGGGCAAAAACTCAGTAGATGACAAAGAAATGCGATGTTATGTATATTAGCTAGGAAAATAGAGAGGATAAATGTTATTTAAATATACAGAAAACTGCAGCAGAGGGAGATTTGGGGGTCCACATGCATTAAGTACAAAAATCTAGCATACAAGTTCAGCATGTAATATGGAAAGCAAATGGATTGCAGGCCTTTATTTCAAAAGGGAAATTGAATATCAAAATATACAAATCTTTCTAAACCTATACAACATGCTAGTTAGACCACACCTAGAATACAGTGAAGAGTTCTGGTTCCCTTACCTAAGGAAAGAATTACCAGTATTGCTCGCTGTCCAGAGAGGGTTCACTAGGTTAATCTTGGGCATACAGTGGTTTTCTTATGAGAACAGGTTGAGTAATTTAGGTTTCTACTCATTGACATTCTGAACGAGAAGCAACGTTATTGACAGCTAAATGCTAAGAGGCTGTTTTCTGTTGTTAAAGAGTCTAAAATCAACGGGTATAATTCGCAATTAAGGGGTCATCCATCTTAAGACAGAGATGAGGAAGAATTTCCTCTCTAAAGACAATAATTCTGCTGAATTCTTTACTGCAAGGGCTCTAGAGTTAAGTGTATTCTTTTCCAAGATGGACAAGATTCTTAATCAATAAACGAATGAAGGGTTATGGGAGAAAAGGCAGGACAGTGGGTGTTGAGGATTATCAGAGCAGCCACATCTCATTGAATGGCAAGGCAGGCTCAATGGATCGAATGTCCTACTTCTGCCCTATGTTTTATGGTCTAAAAATTAAAAATTCCACGTTGTTTAGGTGGGGTTTGCTATTGTGGCCTTATCACTTTAAGGCTAGTCATTTTGAGGAAAAAAAATCTGAATTACCAGTGCCTTCTCAAGAATGCAAATTTCAATTATCCAAGTACTAAGAAGGTAGCAGAGATAACTGTACAACTTATAAAGGGAAGTGAAACAGAATATAAATCTTGGAATAAATGTCATTTGAAAAAAGCATTTCTTTTCATTCTCTCCTGTGCCCCACTAAAACAAAGGGGCAGTGGTGTTATGGTGGCTTCATATTCAATCATTTTTGTGGACTTCAGTCTGAAGGATTGTGCATACCGAGACTTTTTGATAAAGACAGTCAACGAGAGGATAATGGAACACTTTGTTAAACAGGACATTTTTTGGAAGACACGTTTTCAGAAAATTGCTATACTTGGTTGCTTGAAGATATGTCACAGACAACTGACTGTTTTTGAAACTTTATTCTACAGCGAGTGTTTTTTCCCAAACTTGGAATTTAAGTTCAACAGCTTTCTGAAAGAAAGATGTTGATCAATTTGCCTTCCGTTTCTGAAGAAATTTTGTAATGAACCCAGTGTAAAACCTTATTGTCCTTTTCAATTATGACTGGAAGACTTCTTGATTCAGTTTCCTGAGCAAGCTCATGTCTGTCAAAATCCCAGAAAGATCTGATTTGGCAACACTCATTTATATTTACCATAAACCAGATTGACGGTCGTCACAATATTCACATTTTTTGGCCTTCAAGAACCAAGACTTATCAGCTAAAACTACGTTTTTTTTCCACTAATTGAATTGCTACAGACAAAAAATCCCGTTCTCTTTCCTCTTTTCCTGGCGTGAATGGGTTTAGGTGTGTTGTATATCTGGGATTATTTATTTCCAGGTACGTATTTATAGCATCATACAGCACAGAGACGGACTCTTCAGATTATTTTTCTAATCAATCATTTCCACTTACCTTTTATTAAAGTGATAATAAACAGGTTCCCATATCCACTCATTTTAGTTATTCTTTCTTCTTCAAATTTAACCCATTTAAGTTTATGTCTTATCCCTGGACTTGGAAATTTCTGAATCCTAGGTCATGTCATTCTGTGTGTGCTATTCCCTCAAGGGAACTTGCAGTTCTTGCACTTGTCTAGGTCATCAACAAACACCAAATACCAAATCAAAATGAACCTCACGTGGCTTTTTGGTGCACTGCATCATGAAGCAATCAGGCATTATATTTACCAAGTCCAATCCCATTTCATAATGTTTTCTACTTCTCCAGAGAACATAGATGATCACCAAGCTAACCTGATTTCATACACCATAGAATCAACCTGTTATATTTTACTTTAAGATAATAAACCAGAAAAGTGTATTATATTTCATACTCAAAATGTTTACATATATGTAAGATAGATTTAAGAAAATTTATATAGACTGATGAGCCTGACATCAGTGGTGGCTAATTTGTTGAAGGGGATTCTGAGGGACAGGATTTACATGTATTTGGAAAGGCAAGGACTGATTAGGGATCGTCAACATGGCTTTGTGCATGGGATATCATGTCTCACAAACTTGACTGAGTTTTTGTTTGAAGTGACAAAAAGAGGATTGATGAAGGCAGAGCAGTGGATATTGTTTGTACAGACTTCAGCAAGGCATTCAACGAGGTTCCGCATGGTAGACTGGTTAGCAAAGTTTGATCACATGGAATCCAGGGAGAGCTAGGCAGTCGAATACAAAATTGGCTTGAAAGTAGGAGACAAGGGACGGTGGTGGAGAGCTGTTTTTCAGACGGGAGGCAAGGGCAAAAATCAGTCCTGGGTCCACTGCTTGTCATTTATGTAAATGATTTTGATGGTAACGTAGAAGGAATGATTAGTAAGTTTGCAGATGACGCCAAAATTGGTGGAGTAGTAGACAATGGTTATCTCAGAGTGCAATGGGATCTTGATCAGATTGGCCAATAGACCAAGGAGTGGCAGATGGAGTTTCATTTAGATAAATGCAAGGTGTTGCATTTTGGTAAGGCAGAATTTATAAATCAGGGCAGGTCTTATATACTTAATGGTAGGGTCCGGAGGAGTGTTACCAAAGAGACTGGGGGATGCAGATTCACAGTTCCTTGAAGATGGAGTCACATGTTGATAGGATAATGAAGGCAGCGTTTGGTAAGCTTGCCTTTATTGGTCAGTGCGTTGCGTATAGGAGTTGGGAGGTTATGTTGCAGCTGTACAGGATATTAATTAGGCCACTTTTAGAATTCTACGTTCAATCTGGTCTCCCTGCTACAGGAAAGGTGTTGTTAAACTTGAAAGAGTTCAGAAATCATTTACATGGATGTTGCTGGCGTTGGAGGGATTGAGCTTTAGGGAGAGGTTGAATAGGCTGTGGCTATCTTTCACGGAGCATTGGAGGCCAAGGGGTGACTTTATAGAAATTTATGAAATCATGAGGGGCATGAACAGAGTAAATAGCAAAGGTCTTTTATCCCCCCAGGGTAGGGGAGTCCAAAACTAGAGGGCCTGGGTTTAAGCTGACAGCAGAAAGATATAAAACGGACATAAGGGGCAACTTTTTCATGCAGAGATGGTGTGTGTATTCAATGAACTGCCTGAGGAAGTGGTGGAGGCTGGTATAATTGCAACATTTAAAAGAATCTCGATGGGTACGTGAATAGTAAGAGCTTAGAGGTTTATGGGCCAAATGCTGGCAAATGGGACTAGATTACTGTAGGATATCTAGTCAGCACGGATGAGTCCAACCAAAGGATCTTCTTCCACGCTGTACAAGTGTTTGACCTTTCACAGAATCACTTCTTTTAACTCTCCAGTGACCCTGGTAGAAAAGCTATCATTTTTTCTTTCTACTTGTCTTTCTGACCAATATATTCAGTAAATTCCTGATTCAATATTCCGGATTAGTCTTAATGGTTGCAGCAAATCCTAACTATATCCACCCACATCTGACATTACTGACATCTTATTTCTAATGCTTCTATGTATGTCGCAGTTTTATTTCCCCATATTTCCCTGTTCTTTAATACACCCTCAATTGTTTTGCTTCAGTGTCACCCATTTCTTCTATGCCAGTTTTTTCTATTACAGGTTTTCCCTGTGAACAAAATTATTTTCTTCTTTCCTACACATTATAAATTATAAACAAGAATATTAAGTTGAATCTCCACCCTTCAGCTCTGAAACTACCTTCATGTATTTAACTTTAAGAGTCCACATACTTGGGAGTCATTTACACTGTATCAACTACCATTGCTGGGATCTCGTGTTCTTTGAAGTATTCCTTTCAATGCTCTATTTCTTTAGTTCCAATCAGAAAATGTAATATCTTGCAGACAAGGTATAATGTGGATTAAGGTGAGACTATCCACTTTGGCATTGAGAACTGAAGGCATAACTCAAATTAGTATCCAAATGGCAATTAATTGGGAAAGGGCAAGGTGCAACAAGACTTGGGCGCCCTTGTACACCATTCACCGTAAGTAAGGAAAAACTAGCAATTGCTGGCAAAACTCAGTAGGTCCAGCAGCATCTGAGAGAAGAAAGCAAAGTTTCGCCACCAACTTCTATCCTTGTTACAGATCTGTCCAAATGAAGAAACCTTACAAGTATTATCTTCTACGATTTGCATACTATGTCTAAGAAAACTATTTTCTTTAAAGAAATATTGTATTCTGATATCACTTTCAGGGTGATTGAATGAACAACACACTTGTTAGTTACTGTGGTTTCTTAGACAGCTTCAATTCTACTTTTACTTCTAAAATGTCCATTAAAGACAATTGTAAAAGTAGTTTAAGAAATATCATATGTAAATCTCCCTGAATAGATGTTAATTTTTTACTTCAATATCCATCTTCAAAGGAAAGGGATGCATGATCTTTGACTGCTATTTTGCATTTGCTTACCAAGCACTGAAAGGTCACTAATTTATTCACAAAATATTACTTCAAAAACCATTTTCAGCAGTCAATAGTAAAGGGCATTACCACAATCAATATTTCAAAGACTGTACCTGTTTGAATTTCTTTAATTGAAGTGACACCCACGTTGAAAGTCGGTTCTCGTAGTCGGCTCTCAGGGACAGGACTCACAATAAACCGTCTTCCAGCAGAATGGACCACTTGTGTTGCAGAGCCTGCCTGTGTACCTATACCAACAATAAAACAAATTTCAATGCAATTTTATAACAATTTCATCATTCTATTTTGATACTTATCTTTGTTTGGCACCATCGTCTTTACTGGAAGATACATGTACACTAGTCTTGCACAGACTTCCAACCACCATTAAGCATTCTGTTGTGACACACGATTTGGCAAAAAAACATATGACTGTGTTATATCTGCTGTTTTATGATTTAATTATATCTTGAAGTAGAATTTACTGTTATTTTCTTTCGAATCGTCTGGTCAGTATCAGCATCATCTGCAGATTAACCAGTGCTGCACACCATAAACATTCATGGAGGAGATGGGGAAAGAAAGAGAAACAGAGTACGCAGAATGAAGGAAAAAGTCTCCATAAGACTATTAACCTTGAAGCAAATATAATCCTCTACGGTTTGCATACTATGTCTAAGAAAACTATTTTTCTTTAAAGAAATATTGTATGCTGAGATCAGTTTCAGGGTGGTTCAATGAACAACACATTTGTTAGTTACTGTGATTTCTTTGACAGCTTCAATTCTAACGGACATTTTAGAAGTCCACTCACTTCATTCAATGTTCACAAGGATATTTCAAAACTGTAATATATCATGGAGGTTACAATAGCAGGTCAGAGGCTGGTAACTTTACAGTGAGTAATTCACCAGCTGGATGAGTGCAACTTCATCTACTACCAAGATGATCATTTCAGGGTGACGTAGAGACTGGAAACTTTATTTACCAGTTCATAAAGTTCATTAGAATCCAAACTTGAGATCAATTTTTTTCTGAAACACGATGTTTTTGAAAGCAGTTAGGTTCAGATCCATGAGAAACTCTCTTTTACATTAACAGGAAGTTCATGCATGATTACATTCCCCTCTGAGTATCAAGGAACATAACTACCATAAATGTATAAACTTGATTAAATATTTTAAACCATTCTTCAAATCAACAAATAGTGTCACTTACCTAACTGAACAGGTGCTGATATCAGTGGCTCTTCTTGTTTGTACCTGCCTTCTGCTTTCTGAACAGAAAAAAATTACAAATCAGTGAAACTGCATTTATATAATGAGTTACGAGCAATCCTCCTTTGCACAATGCAATTCAAAATGCCCTCAAGGTTGGAAGACAGGAGAGAAATAGAAAAGTAGAAAATGGGGTTGTAATAGGAAGTTAGCAGATCACTGTAAGGACGTTGCAAGTTGCACACTTAAGTCAGAAGAGGCAAGAATTAAATATCTTGGGAAGAGCAGTAAGGCAGAAACCATCCTGGACCAGCCATATAACTATTCTGGTTTTCAGAGCAGGTCAGAAGCTTGAAACTTTACAGCAAGTAATTCATCTGCTGTTTTTCCAATACCTGTCTGCAATCTACAAGGAAAAACTCAACAGCGAGATGGAACACTCAGCTGGATGAGTGCAGCTTCAGCAACATTCAAGATGATGATCAATATCATCCAAGACAAAACAGGCTACTTCATCTGCACCCCGACTACCATTCCATCCAACGGCAAAGCAAAGCAGTGGTTGGGTCATCTTACAAGATTTCAATATTCTCCAAATTTGTTGCAATGCATCATGAGATACAAAATTTATGCAACATAATAAAACAAGACAAAGTGTTTTGGAAAACGTTTTGAGGTTTTAAACATTCTGCAATGAAGACTGACAGACTAACTTTTAAAACCATAACAGCTTCAGGAGAGTTTTGCAAGACAGCTGTCCTGCAAAGCAACCCTGCTGTGTGTATGCTCAAAGGTTGATAACCTGTTAATTGACGTGTTCTATTTCTAACAGTGTTCCATTTAAGAAGTTGCCTCTATTTTAATCAGAATTCATATATTAGGAGAACAAGGAAAAGGAAAGTAGTATGTTGACTCTTGCCTTGCTTACTCTGCCACCTGCCATTTCCAAACAGAGTGCCTGGATGTGTAACAGACTTCTGATTCATGGTCCCACAAGCATGAAACTCCCACTCTCACCGCCCCTGGCACTAACACGCACACACACAAATAAAATTGCCAGAACTCTGTTGTTCCAATTATGAGGAGAGGCTGAATAGGTTAAAGTTTTTTGTCTCCCTTGGAACAGAGGAGTCAGATCACTGACTTAATTGAGTTGACAAAATAATTAAGGGCTTGCATAGACTTAAAAGAGGAGACCTGTTTCATAGAACATTGAACCGTACAGCACAAAAACAGGCCCTTCAGCCCATGATGTTTCCTCTGCAGGAGAGGTCAATTACAGAGTGCATAGATCTAAAGTGAATAGTAGAATGATTACAGGGGTCATGAAGTAAAACATTATCACCCAGAAGATGGCGGCTGTCATGGATTCACTGCCAAGTTTGGTGATTGAAGCAGAAATGCTAATTTTAAAAAGGAACCTACATTGGAATCTGAAGTGTTATAACTTGCAAGGCCAGGGTATCTAATTTATTCAGCTGACATGAAGAGCTAATTGGCCTGTTTCCATGTTGTAACATTTCTACGGTTCTATCATTAATGACTACTTTACCAAGTATGCCATAATTCATTAAGGGCTCAACATGTTACGCATAACTACTATGCAAACTTTAACCTCTATTTTTAGTTTATTCAGTGGCCCCAAGAAATCACTACTGACAGAGATGCTCCAGTCATTTGTATGCCATTCCAGACCATTTTCAAGAAATGGAATATTGATCACTACTACTTCTCCACATTATCCCAAGTTTAACAGTCGAGTTGAACATTCCATTCAAGAATCAAAATTCTAATGTTCAAAGGTAGATAGGCCAAGCAAGATCTACATTTGTGAGCAACACCCCAACCTCTGCATACAATCATTTTACCATTGGAGATACCCATGTTTAGCATACCTGCGGCTACTGAACAGCATTTGTTACCTATCACTAATAGCCCTTATGCAGGTGGTGATGAACAATTTTCTCAAACAGTTGGAGTCCATCAGAAGCAGGTAGATTCAGAGCATTATTTGGGAGGGTGTTCCAAGATTTTGACCTATGCACAGTGGCATAATTCCAAATCAGGATGCTGACTGGCTTGGAACATAAAACTTACGGGTGATGATATTTGCATATACCTGCTGCCCTGGATCTTCTAGATGCTAGTTTAGAAGTTGCTATCAAGGGAGGTTTGATGAGATTTGCTGCAGTACATCTTTCATGTGGTAAGCATTGTTGCTACAGTGCAGCAGCAAGCAGTCTGCTTTGTCTTCAAGGTATCAACTTCTCAAGTGTTATTAGAGCAACGCTCAGCTATGTAGGTGGGGAGTACTCCATCATTCAACTGACTTGTGCAAGGTTTGCACAGGCTTTGGAAATCAGGAATCAAGTTAGTCATTACAGAATTCCTAGCCCCTGACTTATCCTACCCAGCATATTTAAATGGCTAAGCTAACTAAGTTTCTGGTCAATAATAACTCATAGCATGATGATTTTGGGGGAATTCAGTGATGATCATTGGTCTTCAAGGGAAAATGTTTTCATTCTCTTGATGGGAGATAGCCATTGTGTGGCACTTCTGCAGCATGAATATTAATTTGCACTTACTGGGCCACAACTGGATATTGCACAGCCTTACTGTTTGCAGATAGTAACTGCTTATGTATTCAAGGCTTTAATTATCCCAAGCATAGTGTAATCATCTCTAAATGGGCCTAGTTTTGACCTAAAAGATGGAGGGAATGTCATTAATGAAGCAGCCGAAAAATGGTTGGGCTTCAGAAAAAGCTCTCAGGAACTCCTGCAGCAACGTCCTGGGTTTAAGATGATTCAGTAAGGTAGGTAAATAACAAAGTAAAAATTTGATTTTTTTTTTAAGATGGCTGAAAAACCAAAAATTTGAACAACATATTTTGCTCAGTCACATTTTATACAAAATAAGCCAGTTTGTTCATTTTCTGGGAAAAGCATAGTTGTTGTTCAGGGAGGAAGAACAGAAATGAAAGCAAGATATAGGAATGTAATTAGGATGAACAGCAAACCAAAAATCAACAGAAAAAGAGGAGGTAACAGTCATGCAAGAGTCCAAGAGGAATCCGACAGCAAACCTGCATTGCCTCTTTGAAAGATATGTTCAATTAGTCCCACTGTCCTGTTCATGCAGGTGTCTTCTGTCCAATTTACAGCCAATTTCTTTTTTAAAAGTTAGTTAACCCATTCCAAATCATAGGTCACTGCATTAAAAAGATCAGTTTTCTTCTGGTTCTTTCACCACTTACTGTAAATTTATCTTCACTGGTTGCCAGCTCCTGATTTACTGTGCCAATTTTAAACATCCATTTCATTTTCCTAAAACCTTCTCTGTCCAAGTCAGAATAGTCTTGGTTTCTTTAGTTTCTTCACATAAATGAAGTCCCTCATCTCAATATGATGGCTCATGTGCTTCTGGAGAGAAAACCTTATGTTTTATGTTACGACAGTAGTCTCCAAAATAGGTATTTAAGAAGAAACTGTTTCTGGTAAACTACCTAGCTTCCAAAAAATGATCCAGTAACCTAGCTAAGAGATAAAGAACAGGCAAAAACACTGGTAAATTGCAATTAAATGAGAAAAGTATATTTTGGGTCTGGTTGTATTTCAAACAGGTTTTTCCCATTTAGAGCAATCCAGTTGTACAATAGAAAACATCTCTTTCCAGCAAAGTTCATTTGAATTTCTATATTCTGGCTAAAAGGGTTTAAAATCATCATTAACTGAAGAACTCCTAACTGAATTTTAAATGTAAGACTGCAGAGTTAAAACATTTCGGGAACCATAAGAGCTCTGGACTGTAGGGGGCTATAGTGAAGACAACAGAAAGGTCCGTGTTGAACTGAATGATCAGAGGAGATCTGAATTGACAACCTTGCCACAAATAATCAGAAGGTCCAAGAAATCTCAGCCTTTAGTAGCTATCCAGTATACAGTAGCTACACAGCAGTACAGACAGTAATCAAGAAATAATGAGGGTACACAAAAAAGGAGCTCATTAATCAAGGATAACTTTAATCTTCAGGCAGATTGAGTAAGTCAAATTGACAGATATAGTCACAGAGAATAATTCAGAGTGTATTCATGACAGCTTCCTAGAAGAATAGGTTAAGGATCCATCCAGGAATCAGGTTATTTGGGATCTGGTGATGTGTAATGAGGCAGGTTTAACAAGTGGCCTCAAAGTAAAAGATCCTCTAGAAATAGTGACCATCACGTGATAGGATTTGGTATTCAGTTTGGGGGGTAAATCTGGGTCAGAAGCAACTATACTAAACTTAAATAAGGGTAATTACAAAGCAATAAGGGCAGAGTCAGCTGGATTACACTGAGAAGGGAGTTCAGCAGTAAAGACAGTTGAGGAACAATGACAGTTGTTTCAGAAAATAGTTCATGGCTTACAACAAAGCTATATCAGAGCGAGAAAGGAGGAAGCCAGAAAAGGGGTAAATTGGCATAGTTAACCAGGCAAGTTAAGGTTAGCATCAAATTGAAAGAAGAACAAAGAATGTGACAAAGATTAGTGGTAAACCAGAGGATTGGGAAAGTTTTTAAAACCCAAAACAGCAACCAAAAAAAAAGTGATAAGATAAACATCAACAGTAAACTGCAAGTAATAGCAACAGCTTCTTTAAATATATAAAAAGGAAGACAATTAACATAGGCCCTTAGTGAACAAGGCTAGAGAAATAATAATGGGGAACCAAGAAAATGGCAGAGGTCAAATACTTTCACAAGTTTTCACAGAAATACTCAAGGGACAAAAGGGTTAATGATCCCCAAGTTCCCTCAACGAGATACTTTTTTATGAATTCATGGGATGAGGGTGTCGTTGGGTAGGCCAACATTTATTGCCCATCCCTAATTGCCTAGAGGACACCTAAGAGTCAACCAAGAGGGCGTCTGGAGTCACAATTAGGCCAGACCAGGGTAAGCATGGCAGTTTCCTTCCCTAAAGGACATTAATGAACCACGTGGGTTTTTCAGACAATCGATAATGGATTTATGGTCATTGTTTAGACTCCTAATTCCAGGATTTATGGAATTCA